GGTATGGATATTCTCTGAAACTGCACATTGTAATTTTTTATGAATATAAAATCTCATTCTTTATAAACATTCCTGACCTGAGAAATGATGTTACTAGACTTACCAAGTGAGCCAACCTCTTTTTTTACTCCAGTGCTCTTGAACAACTTTTTATCTTTGACCAAGGGAGAGTTTCTGCCTGATCCAGGTCCCTTCTCACTGGCACTGCTTCCAACACTAGCAACATCTACAATAAGAGAAGATTCATATCACAATAATTATTATCATTTATCTGAACTTCTCAACCCATAATCTGGTTCTCAGGTGCTGCTCTAGTGCTCAATCGCTTCAAATATACAGTTCTTTTTTGTATCCTGAAGTGCAGCTCTTATATTGAATTGAATGGCAGTAATATTAATCAACATAACTGTAATATTAATAAATAGTAATATTAATTAATGCAATTAATGACTGTAGTAATATTTCCAACATCCCATGCAGTGCTTATTCAAGACGGATGCTTCAAGAAGTAAATATGGTTTACTGCTAGTCATGAGTTGATCATGTCCTGTCTTTTTTATTTGTTTCTAAAAACCAGAAAATGAGTTATTTCAATCGCTGTTGAGAATGTTAAAAGTTTAAGACAGGCACACGCTGGTGGGAAGTTATACAAGTACCACTGAGGTACAGGAGACTAGCTGGAGCTTTCCACATTGACTTCATAACATGTCTGACCAATGTGTGAAACCTGTCAAATGCTTCACCCCTGTTACCCTGTCAGACAGTGATTTCCTTCTATTGGAGATGCCAACCTTAACAGTTTGAAATCTGGGAGATTGCCAATTTTACCATCTTGGTCCTAAAAAATAAGATGTTCAGAGTGGAGCTCTGCCAATTCAAGCACAAAAATGCATCAAATATCAGAAAAAAATTTCCCAAGAAATGTCAAAAATCGGCAAAATGTCTGAAAAAAATTATTTTATTTTCTTTCCTATGTTTGGTCTATGAGATTTATTGACCTGTATGAGAGACCGAGGGATTTGGTCTAGGATAATCCAGGAGACTTGGCATGGATCTTCTCTTTCTGTTCAGTAAGAGACAAGAAGAAACCTAACTGCTCATATTGAATCAATCATTTTACTGGCCACGGTCCATGTTTCTCCCCAAGCAAAAAGAGAAGGGAATCTCTGTCTTGCAGGGTAGACTCCTGGGATCATGTGCACTAAAGACATTTTGCAGTCGAGTGTCAATTGATACCCTTGATCGACCCTCAATCAAAACTTGATCAATACTTGCCTGACATCTCAACTGACACTTGATCAACATCTCAATCAACACTTGATCTACATCTCAATCAATATTCAGGCGACACTTGGTCAACATTCCATCAACACCTGTTCCACAATTAATAAACAGTCAGTCAATAGTCCACTGAGTGTTGACTGACTCATATGTATCGACTGACACTCGATGGTGTGTCTGCAAAAATTAGTCAACTCTCAACCGAGATGTCGATCAAGTGTCGATTGATTGTTAACCAACGTGTCAATCAAGTGTTGATCGAGTATTGATTGGGTACCGATCAAGGGTCGATAGAGGGTAATGATCAACACTTGCCTGTGGATGCCTTTAGAGCACATGATCCGACTCCTGTTGGCAGAAGTCAGAATTTCTGAGCTGTTCGTGTAACAAATGAACATTTTCCTAAAATTTCCACCAAGCTATATGTGTACCATCATTTCTTTCCTCCTGGTTAAATTTATCACTGTAACTCTTTACTCCCATTATTTGCAGTAGCAAAAAGCAAGCCTACCATCATCTTCAGCGTTTTTATCCTTTCCCTTCTGAACAATGCCTCCACTGACGAAATTCAGCGGTTTGGAATAGTCTTTCTTTCTTTTCCCCGAAAACCCACTCGATCTTTCATCATCATCCGAGTCTTTCTCTGCCCACATGCCATAAATTGCTTCTTCCTTGGTCATTCTTTTTTTTCTGAACCCCAAGCCGAAGCCTTGCATAAGGTCATAGTCTGTGATCTCAAAATCTTCGACTTCCACGTCGTCGTCCATTTTTAAAGATTCAAAACTCTCCAAGGGTTAAATTAAATAGTGCTGTATAATAAGACTAATAAGACTGTATAATATGATTCAGGAAGTGTAACAGTGCCGGATCAAAGCCATAAATGGTTCAAGAAGAACATGAAAACTGCAGGAAAATAAGCGTTGTCAACGAAGACCTCGTCCGCCATCTTTTGCGCAAAAATTGCGACGCTTACACTTTAGCATTTGTCCGCTGTACA